TCAGCATCGAACCCTGCCTGGATTACCGTCTTCTGGAAAGAAGCTATCCAGCTCCATGAACCAAGACTCAAGCCTCCTGTTTCCTCATTGGATCAAACCAGCTGGCAGTCTCCTGATTCCTTCGTTCTGTGGATCTCCCTCTGAGAACCCTGTCCACCCTCCTCCTTCCATTGCACCAGCTACAGAAACTCTTGGACCATCAGTCATCCTGGCACACCAGTGTTCACTGTCTCCAGTCCCACGGGTAAACAACCTCCTGGTCTCTCCACCCCCCTCTGGCGGATCTCTCCCTAAAATCAGTAAGGCAGAAATATCATTTGAGAATATAGGTCCAGAGTTTCCCCTTACTTATGGTTCTGTTTATTTTACAGTTGGTGTTCCAGTCTCCTGCACATTTCAACACACTGTTAATAAACTTCTTACCGTTAAAACTCTGTCTCCTGAATTACTTTCTGCATATGGGTCAAACCTGTTCGAAACACTATGACAGCATGTCAAACATCTAAAGTGTAAAACACCTCTAGTGTAAAAAATTCCTTAAAGACGGCCGTATTGAACTGTTTACCTACTTGATCACACTTCACTGAACATATTTCCCCAGGTGAATTAAGCAATAGTAAGATAATAAAATTATGCTGATAATTTCTACATGGTCCATAGACATTGTTAAATTGGGCCGGGGGGTCTGTTGGGCTGAGCCCTGGCACACAAGACAGGTCTGCATCAGGTCTGAAGCAATAAACATTTTTATGTGTTTAAATAATTAAAACAATGAAGAGTTTTTTAACACTTAGGGTCATGATTTATACCACTTTGTGGTTTGTTCTTATTACTGCTATGGAAAACGACAAAGAATTGAAATGAAACACACATCTTCCTGTGTCCTGTGTTTTTTTTTGTTTTTTTTTTCTTCGATGATGGAAGTTGGTGTCCTGATTGTAGCTTGACAGAAGGATCCATTCCTGCTTTTGAGAAATCTATCCTACCTTTGATTAGCTCAAAATGGAAAATAAATTAAACCGGAAATCATTCTACACTAAACCTGTAATACAAAACAAAGTGTTTTACTTGTGAAACATTTATTCTGTTTGTGAAAACAAAAACTTTTACATTTTATGAAATCGACATTCATATAGGCTGTAGGATAAAGGCTGACAAAACACAATTTGTTTTTAAATAAGTGTTTTAATTAAGAATTTTTCATTCCAGTTTTGACCAGTTTCTCAAAAATCAAAAGCTGCATAAAATACATGAATTACAGCTGTGTGAATAACTGCTGATTGAGATAACATCCAACCACAGTCTCAAATGAAAACAAATGCAAGTTTGTTTGGCCCTTCATGCTACATTGTTAATTACAGCCACTAGGTGAAGTCAAAAACCAAGGGAGGGTACGGTGATCTGCTCTGTTGCTGCTCCTTATGTATGTAAAGAGGAACAATATCTGTTGAGGATTACCAAATTAAAAATACCTAATTAAAATGTTTAAAGTAAAAGACTTAGAAACACAAGGCCTCACGATGATGCACATTTTGTTTTATAGTAAGGACGACAGTAAGGAGGATAAAAACATCTCCAAAGTTCACTTTCAGAGAACTGAAGCAAATATTGGCACCTTGGGGTCTACATTACCATCATTGGTCACCATCTACATGCCAACCAGTTCTGTGGGAGACATGCCTGGAAAAAAGTGTTTTCTGTCCCCACATAACAATGGCAAATGTTTGGAGTTTAGTAAAATCTACAGCGATTTTAACAGAAATCGTTTTAATCTGATGTTTATGACTGTATCTATCTAATAAAGAATTGTTCATTCATTCAAGCGGTATGGAAGATGAATGAATGAATGAATGAATGAATGAATGAATAATAAAGAATTGTAAGGAAATCTCTGCTGGCCAGTTTGATTCAGTGGTCTGTGGTTCTTCAGTGCGACAGAAGCATCGACTGATGACCCAGTGAAGGCTGCTATCTTCCAATGTCCAGTGTGACCGGAGATACAATCGTGGGTTTATAACATCAAACTTGCACAGTGTTATATGTTTAACTCCTGCACAGGTTTGCAGTTGTACAACACCAACAATTTTCAAATGATGTTTTTTTTTAAGTTTATATAGGGCTTTATGGTGGTGCAGTTGGTAGCGCTGTTGCCTCTCTGCAAGAAGGTCCTGGGTTTGAATCCCAGCCTTTGGTCTTTCTGCATGGTGTTTTCATGTTCTTCACGTGCATGCGTTGGGTCTCTCCAGGTACTCCAGCTTCCTCCCACAGTTGAAAAACATAACTGTTGGTTAACTGGTCTCTTTAAATTTCCCTTACGTATGAGCATGTGTGTGCATGGTTGTTTGTCCTGTGTGTCTCTGTGTTGCCCTGTAATGAACCAGCCTGTCCAGGGTGTACCCTGCCTCTTGGCCAATGACCACTGGAGATAGCACTGAGGTAATGACAAGTGGGTATAGCCCCTGGATGACTGAATTTATTAAAGGAAAAAGTCTATCTATGCCACTATATGTAAAAATATAATATCCTGTGGTCCAATGGTACAGTGAGAACCTTTCCCCTAAGTTTCCAGCCTACCAAAATTACTCCATCAACATCTCATCCAGGAGGTCATCAAAAAACCCAGAACAACATCTAAAGCACTGAAGTCCTCACTTGCCTCAGTAAAGGCCGAGTTCACGATTCAACAAAAAGATAGAGACTGGGCTACAGTGGCATCTATGGTGGAGTTGCAAAAGAAAACCCTCGGCTGACCAAATAGAACATAAAGGCATGTCTCACGTTTGCCAAAAATGATCTTAATCATCCCCGAGACTTTAGGGAATATACTCTGTTGACTGGCAAGACAAAAGTGTTTAGAAGGGTTCGAAAGAAAACATTTGGGCTGAGCTGAAAAGAAAAGAGCATAAGAGAGGGATCAGTACTCTGGATGATTCAGAGAGATTATGTAAGGATGTATGGTTAGAGATCCCTCTCTCTGTATGCTCCAACCCTGTGAAATGTCATAGATGAAAACTAAGTGCTGTCTTACTTGCAAAAAGGGGTTGTACAAAGTATTGACACAAGAGCTGTGTATATGTGTGGCAACAAGAGTTTTGAAATAAACAATGATTTCTTATTGTGGATATTTGTTTGTCTCCTGTGGGAAGTGCACTCAAATAAAAGGTTGGATTTTTCTTCTATTTAAAAATTTTTAGTGAGAGTTTTTTCTACTCCAAAAAAAGATAAATCCTTATTTAGTAAAAACAGTATCCCCTAAAGACAACAATTAATAGACAATGATTTCTATCACAAAAGCTGCTAGTTTACATTGAACATCCAAAACAAAAGCTCATTACATAGTGCATTTCTGTCCAAGTCCTAAATTTTTCAACAAGCTCTCACAGTCTCATGTAGATCTGATGGTGGTTCAGTAGTCCCTTAAAAACTGCAGAGTCAGCATTTAGTCTGTAAGGCTGCAGCCATAAAGTGTGATCTTGCCAGCAGAAACCTCAGTCTGGCGCCTGATGACTGGATCAGCTCCTTTCCACTAACAGAGGCAAAGAGGCGAAGAACATGTAATGTAAATCAGGTTGTTCATCCGGATTTTAGTCTGAAATATGAAGTGTTTTGTTAAACTGGATAATGTTCCTACCTCTCATAATCCAGTCCAAGCAGACTGACTCCATTGACAGCCAGGATCCTGTCTCCAGGCTCCAGCTTCTTACACTTGGCTGCAGGAGTGTCTGGAACAACTGCACGGATAAAGATGCCCTTCACCTTCATGGATGTGTTCTGGACGGGAACATGATAACTGAGAGTCAGGCTCTGACTGACAAGGATTTCACACTTAAAACTTTTTACCTGAATGTCAGCAACACAACATACAACATACAATTTATGAGCAGTCAGTATCCTAACTGCAGCAGTGACAGGAAACAGGACTGTGTGGTTGACAAAACCAAGACAAACTATGGTGTAAAAACAATTTATAAAATATTTTATCTTTGTTCAAATTCCCATGAACGTTTTCAGTTTTCTGTGATTTTACATGACTGAAAAATATTTTTAAATTACTGGTAAAAATGAATTTTTTCTCTCAAAGCTTCATAAAACTCCAGTCTGAATGTTGTTTGAATGCTAAAATGTGCTATAAAACAATTTAAACAAATTATAAAGATGTACTGCTTGCTATGCAGTTACAGCTGTTAAAAAGTTGGTTTTAGTTCACTTTATTAATAAGAGTGCTTTATTGTGCCGTTTACCATAATTTAAGTGTATTTTAATATTTTGTTATAGCGGTAAATCGTGTTCTGTTGAATGATAAACTGATTGAAGGTCAAATAATTGTTTTAAAAAAAACCTTTCCAAATGAGCTGCAAAAGTTAGCATGTCTGGTGGTAAAATAAACTCATTTCAAACTCAATACCATGTCCAAGCAAAAAAACGTTATACTCGATAGTTTTTACTTTCACTTGAGATGCACAAAATTCACTACAGTTCTCATTTTAAACCGCAGGTCACATTACAAATAAAACTGCCTGTAACAATTGGTAGAAAAACAATCAGTAGAGAAAGAGCATTCCTACAGTTTGATGTGATAATTGTTGCTTTTAGGTATTTTTTTTAAGTACTCGTACTCGTCGTCTTCCGCTTTATCCGGGACCGGGTCGCGGGGGCAGCAGACTCAGCAGAGACGCCCAGACGTCCCTCTCCCCAGACACCTCCTCCAGCTCCTCCGGGGGGAGCCCAAGG